TAAATGACTAGTTCCATCAAAAGAGTACATAAAAATAGTGCACGCATGTGTTAAACCAATAGAAATATAATACAAACAACAAATTAGTACCTGTGGAGTATTGTACTCAATAAAACAGTAGCCAAGGGTTTTCTGAGTATCAGGATCAACAGGCATCCAAAGACCATCCTCCTTAATGACCCCAATTTGACTGTATATCTTTCGAATGACACCTTCCAGCTTCTCAAACTTTTCTTTGGGAACAACTGGCAAATTGTCAACAACTATCACATTTCCGAACCCATTGTCGAACTCCAACGGATCCCCCTCTGCTAAATCACCATCATCACTATTGTTCCAAAAAAGAAAAATAATCACAATAATAAGATGAAATCAAAACCAATTCAGTTCAGTACATGGTTAAAATAGAGGTGGATCTAGATTTACCTTAAGATGCCCATATCCTCGCCAGGAGGGAGGCGGATTGAATCCAGATCGACTCCAGAGAGGTCAATGTTGAGCCGTGATGCGGCAGCTTGAACGTCAAACAATGACATCACTTCAGCCATAATTACACACTATTGTTTTTTTCTCGTCCTGCAAAATGAAATCAATCAACATAGCCTCTAGACAAAATAGAACTTTGTAGGGCTGGAACTTCAAACAGCTGAAAAATTTGTTGAGCCTTTTCAAAGCTGTAAATTAATACCTTATATTGATCCCCTAATAATTACATGTAGTAGAGGTAAGTAAGGGTCTCTTCCTTAATGACAATTGTTTATTCTTTCAAAAAGTTTGAAAATGAACAACACTCAAAATCAAATACTCCATAGTCAATGATTTGACACTCCTCCGTCCCAGATTTATTGTCATAGTTACTATACTGCCATCTCGATAACTTTTGTTTGATTGCGTAATTTCATTGATCATTTGATAAAATAAAATATTCTTTTCTTCATTGTTTTGTAGAACTTTTGATGTAGTTTCTATATATGTAATTTGTACATTTTATTTCTATACCGATTTGTAAACAAAATATATTTTTGGGTTAAATATATTTTTAATCCCAAGGCGATTTTTGTTTTTAGTCCCTCTAATTTCTTTGTTTAATTCATCCTTGCAAAATTTTTATTTTGAAAATGGTCCTTAAATGTTAAAACATTTAATTTATTAAGATACCAAATTTATTTCGTACACAACATCCTAGTCTTGCATTTCTAATGGCCTAATTTTTCATTCATAGAATTACATCCCCAATTTCTAATTTTTTTATTTATTACTCCGTATATTATATACCCAATAAATATGGGAAATGGAGATGTAATATGAATAATGAAACAATTTAGGATATGAGAATTGTGTTGGGGTAATTAGAAATACAAGACTATGATATAAGGACACAACTTAGGGCATGAGAATTGTGTCGGGGTAATTAGAAATACAAGACTATGATGTTGTGTATGAAAAAAATATGTTATCTTAATCAATTAGAAGAGCAATTTATGTTTAAGGACCATTTACAAAATAAAAAATTTTATGAGGGTAACTTTAAAAAAAACTTTTACAGGGACCAAAAACAAAAGTAAGCTAATGTTATTTTACATGGACCAAAAACATATTTAACCCTTTTTAAAATAAGATTTTGGATGTTGCTCGAAGTGAGACATAATTTTGGGACAGAGGGAGTATCAGTTCAGTCTAATGTTTACTGAGTCAAATTATTACAATCAGTATCCTACTCCATAAAAATTACTGCATTAACATCGCCTATAGAAAATCAATAGTTCAATACTTTTGGTGTGCCAATAGTAAAATTAGGAGTGCAATGTCATTTCCCTTTTGCTCCATATCCAATCAACTGACAATATTTAAGCACAATACATAAAAAACCATATTCATATGAAATTAATAAAAAAACAAACTCTATCACTATCATGTCCACTTGAAAACAAATCATCAGACTGAACTGATATGAAATCTTAATGGATTTGAAACCTGTATGGAATTATAACGTGTATAACAAATTCTTGAACCACAAATGGAGATTCGGGTTCTGACAGACGGAAGAGATGTGCTGCCGCCCAACGAAGCAGAGATCGGAGACGCAGTGGCGGCGGCTGTTGCGCGAGGCATGGCTGGAGAAGATGACGGGACAGACGCGAAGGTAAGAGCCGGACAACTGAAGCGTATTGCGAATGGAGTCGACTAGGGTTTTCTATTGTTTTTTTAAAACTAAAGGTTTCGATCTAAACATGAAAACATAGATCTTAGATTCATTCCCAAAATCAAACGAAAACGAAGAGAAAGCTCCGGAAGATCCAGTGCCCCTAGAAGAGTTTTACCTGCGGTTGTTTCTTCGATTCCAGTTGCCGCTGCCGATTGAAAGTGCCGTGCAGCCCGTCCTCTCAGCCGCTGAGTTCTCTCCGATTCAAGACGTTTTTTATCTGTGGCGCAGGCTTTGCTTTAGTACTCCGTAATACGTATCCTAGGGAAAAATAATTAAAAGAATATAAGGAGTATTCCATAAATAGTCTCTAATTATACTCATTCATCCTTAAGAGAAAACCGTTAGAGATTAGCGTTAGCGTTTGGAAAAGGCTATCTACGGGTAGCCTTTAGCGTTAACATTTTCGAAATTAATCTGCACCGTTAAAATTTTATCCAAAACGCTAACGCTAATAAAAAACGATATCCCCAAACTGGCCCTAAATATTTACAATGTTTGCTTTTTCAGTATTGCGGGAACTTTTTGTTTATTTCTACGTTTTCATTGGTTATTTGATAAAATAAGATACTCTTGACACCTCTTATTTTGAAAAACTTTTCATGTAGTTTTTTGATATGTAAATTTTATTTTTTATTTCTATACCAATATGTAAATAAAATGAATTAAAAAAACTTGATATTTTGTCTAGGGAATACAAGTGTGGCAAATATTTAGGGACTGGGGGAGTATTATTTTTCACGAATAGTTCTCTGTTAACATTTTCGTTAAAAATATGGATAAACTTGTAAATTCACATTCTTCCTCCTCAATAAAGTTTTCTACCTCCTCTCGTACTTCTTCACAAACTCGTCACTAAGTTTGAAGCTCTGAGCCCAAAACCAAAATCAGTGTCTCAATTATTCATCTTCATGGTATCAGAACCAATTTCAAAGTTTGCTTTATTTCCAATTTCCTGAGACAAACCCTCAATTCGAAATTTCTGTTTTGATTTCTCCATCTGTAGATAGATCTACACCCATTGCATCAACTTCTATATCTGTGTCTAAAACAAACACGCCGGAAGTAAGTTTCAACTCAAGAACACTCAAATCTCATGTCAGCACACCCTGACTAACAGTTAGAACATCTCCTTCTGATAACGTAGCATACTATCGAAGACTCGTTTCAAGAACAGCTGTGTGATTAAGGATGTCAGAAAATTAAGGTTTATTAGGCTGAAGTCTTCCAAAATGCAAAGGTTCCTTTTGGTAACCACACATAACACACTTCAACCGTAGAAAAAAATATAGGTTGAATGAAGAATGACCGTGCGTAAAAAAGATGAAGGAGTGGTTTAATTTAATGTAGATTTAACAAGAATTGACGAAGGACTTTTTATCGAAACTAAGCATATAATTGGGGACTATTTGATATGTGGGACTAAAAATAGAAAACAACCTATAACAGAGGACGATTAGGGAAATTTACTAAAAAAAGGAATCTCTAAAATAAGACATAAAATCATTTTTCAAATATCTAAATAAAATTTATTTACAAATTATAATATGTAAATTAGAAAACATAAAAATACTCCTTTCATCCAAAATTCATTTTTTTTCAATGATCATAATTGTTTTGTAAGAAAAATGATAAAATTGCATGTTCGAAAGGCATTTTCATTTAGCTCAAATTGCAACGTGAGTGACTAAGTAATCAGTCAAGTCATTTCAACCAAATAATAACAGGCTTCGCACAGGTCTCAGTTCCTCAAGCGACGGCCGGCAACGCGTCTTCCTTAAATGCTTAGACGGTCCGAGCTCTCCTGCTCTCGGCTTCCAAGCGTTCGTGAGTCGTCAAAGCTCATGTGCAATCATTACCTTCATCTCAAAATAATCCAAAATCAAGTTTCTTTACTTTTGGAATTAAATTTGAACTCTAAAGTCGTGTTTTGTGGGTTATGGAAGTATGATATCATACCTTTTGAAATCTAGAACAAATGATATAAATTTTGAAATCTAAAATAAAAATATTTGGAGAGATTTAAAATAATAATTGAATTACTGATAGATGAAGTGGAAGATAACAGGAGTGGTTGGTTAACCGTGGTAGTGTTAGCCGGTGGCAGGGAACGATTAACTCTTGAAGAGATATCGAACTTCTATATTGATTGATATTTCATATTTAGGAGATATCAAAATCCTCCGTTTTGGAGATTTTTGTGATATATAAAGATCTCAAATTCAATATTTTTGTTGGCTTCAGCAAACACTAAAAAAAGGTTAGAATATCCAGAGATATCAAAATTGAGGTCTTTTTTGCTCACCAAATACACCTTAAATATTTAATCATCATAGATTTTTATATTATAAAATTGTTCTTAATAATTTTATTTTCACATAAAAACTCAAATATTAAGTTTTCATGCTATTAAAATATTATCCATAAATTTTTTTTATTTGAATGAAATTATTTTCAATTCAGTGTGTTTGCTTTGGAGGATAATATTTTCCAAGAAAATTTTGATTCAAAGAAAAATTTTCATTCTCTCTCGGACACATCTCCCAAGCGAACCCCATCCCCCAACTCGTCCACCTCATCATACCCCTTTCCCTCACAACCCACCCCTACCACCCCCGCCCCACATACACTACTACCTCCCTTCATCCACCCCATCCCGCGCTACCCCACTCCTCACTTCACATATTCTTGTGAGTTCTCATCCCTCCTTTATGTGACGTTGTTTTCATCTCTTGAACGGCTGCTCGATTTATTTCATATTCCCAGAAAATGTTTCCAGAATTTTCCTATGCTATTCAAAACAGGTTCCTTTTTATTCCTCACAGCTTATTGGGCTCATGGTGATAGAGAAAGATTAAACAAAGCCATTTACAATTGCAAAAAAAGGAAAGAAGTTTACAAGCATTATTGAATATGGTAAAACAATAATGTACTGTTGGAATCAAAACTGAAGAAGCAAACCCCCCACAACGTCCATTTAAGAGAACGGGGAAAAATTGCAGATGGAACACCCTTGACGTGTATATAATTTCACATCCCGTCCCCTCCACAAAAAACAAACATTACAGACATGACTCTTATTAAGGGCGGGAGTGATGTCAATAATACATAAACAAAACAGAAAAAGAAAGAAAGAAAGACTTACTATTCGGCATATAAGGGAACCGGCAAGAAAGGAAAGGGGGCAATAGAAGCGTATGCAACAGGAGGGCGTGAATCAGCACCGAGCAAGCACTTCTCTCTCTTTTGACCCGTGAATACTTCTGTATCCATCTCGTTCTTCATGGTCACATGTTGCTCGTTGTTATTGGACACGCAATGGAGAAGAAGTCCAGACATAAAGACTGGAAGGTAAAGAAGGCTGGCGTGAAACATCCTACGGGCATCTTTGATTGTGCGACTGAAGTAGAAAGATGTTGCTGTGGCGGTGATGGCAAGAGCAAGGAATGTGGACTCGAGGCAGAACCACCCTGAGGTTAACCCCCCTGTGCAGAAGAAGAAGAAGAAGATACATAACGAGTCTTAATCAACACCACTATGGACTGTTGTGCACCGCATAATTGATTAAATATCGCACCAAAGAAATTTGATTAAATCTCTCACCAAAGAAAATTGAATAAATTTGATGTTAAAGCCAAAGACCTTGGAGTCCAGTGACATAACTGTGGTTCTCCCAAATGGGAGGTCGCAGGTTACCCCAATGAGGGCTTTGATTGTTTGTGCTTTGATAGGTTGAGAAATAATAGTACTAAAAAACTGAAAGCTATATGCCTATATACATGGTGTTACAAGTGCTTGGTAATTTTTAGCTTTTGAAAAGTTTATTATGTAAAATGACATTTAATAGCATTCTTATTGATTATAGAGGATAAGTGGTATTTTTTAAATAAAAAACTAGGGTTATTACAGGTACAATTAAAACACTTCTTTAAACTGTGAGCTTATTTCTAAAGAAACTATGGGAGATAGCTTTTAAAATAAGATCTTATTTTAAGCTGTTATTCTGTTTACCAAAGATGGCTGGTAGCATATTGTAAAATAAGCCATAAATTTCAGAAAAAAAATACCAGGCACGCTTTTTAAGAAAGCGTCAGATTGAAGCTTTTATACAAAAAACACTTTAAGTTTTCAAATGAGAGAACAGTTTTTGAAAAAGAGGTTGAGACTCACAGTCATAGGCTAGATAACCAAGTGGTAGTAGATACAGGCAGTTCCTCAAGGCAACTGAAGATGTTCTCTGACCAGAAGCATCAGCCAAGGAAAACATCCTAAACCTAAGTGTACAGTTAAACGAGATAACATAAGAGAGGGTGAGAAAGAACCTAATAAGAAGGTAGATTCATTCATTGACAAAAAACTTAAAAACAGGGGCAGGCTCTAATACCCTCCATCTGCATAATCCTGGCGGCACAAGTATGCTAAGGCCATGAAGTGGGGTATTTGCCAAAAATAAAGAGCAGCAGGGAGAATGAATCCATTGAGGGATAATTGACCAGATGCTGCAGCCCACCTGAAGAAGCATGATGGATAAGTGTATTGAATATGCGTTTTTCATTGCCATTTCACATTTCCAAAGTCCAAACATGTTTACGAATAGTCAGTTCCTCAACTTCACTTTTTACTTCCAAAATCAGAGAGTGTGATTACAGAAAACTACCACTTTGTCAGTCTCACCGACCACCTCAGTGTTTTGCATTCAATGATGTGTGTGACTGTGTGGTGGCCACTTTGTTAAATTTTCTATTTAGGAATCCACAAGGAAGTATTTTCCAAATTTGAAAGAGAAACGGTCTTTTAGGAACTAGGGAAATGCCAAGGAAAAAAAGTAAGTGAGAGGATAGAGGAAATGTAGAATGAAACATAATATGGGGACTATAAAGGCTAATAAATTTATATATGTATATGTTCAAATTTAAAAAGTTTTAATCAAAAGTTTTAAACATGTTAAGCTCAACTGATTAAAAAACAAAAACATTCTAAAAGGGACTGTTTGGAAGGAACAACATTTGGGGAAAAGTATCATATTGATTCAAATTTTAAAAATCATTATTAAATATTTTTTCAAACACAATATGTTCATATATTTCTATTATACTTCCTCTGTTCTAAAACAAATGCAACACGTGGAATTAACGCTCACCAATGTATAAATTGAATCATTGATGTCTTCATTTGTGTTTTACTCCATAATAAAGATTATAAAAGTTGTATATTAAAAGAAATCCAACAAGATCCAAGATGACTATATATTTCCTTATGCATAAATCATAAAAGAAAGTTGATCGAGAGTGTGTGAATAGTGCAAAAGTCCAAACGTCCCATCGATTTTATAGTAAAGTATAAAGACTAAGATATATATGTAAAATTTTAGAGTTCTAATCGAATTTGATTTCCCTTTTGTATATTTCTATTCTAATTTAAAACCAAACAGAAAAATATTTTCCATAGTTTTTTCACGTTACCTATCATTTTATGGGTTCCAAACATAGCCTTGGTACTTCATAGCATACTGAGTCAACAAAGAAAAAATTACCCAAGAAGTGGCGGGATAGCACCGACAATAGCCCCAACCCATGTATTAATGGGATGTATCTGCTTCAGTGGAGTGTACACAAACGCGTAAAGACAAAGATTAGAAGCAGCAAGGCCAGCAGCCAACATGTTTGCCTGTAAAAACCTTGTCATATGTATAGCAACATCAGTGACTCAAAGAACAATATAGTACTCCGTGTATATTAAATACACCATAGTACAAAAAGAGTTGCTTAAAATGCCTGGTCACCTTGCAAGCCAACAAACTAGTACCGGCAACACCGGCACAAGATGCCCAGGCAACAGCATGATGTATAGTAATCCGCCCTGAAGGTAGTGGTCTCTGCCGAGTTCTCTTCATTTTTGCATCATTTTTCACCTCAAACACCTACACAAACACAAATACCACCTAAAAATGAGAGAATACAGTATGTGCCTGGAGAGTGCTAGCATCCAGGACCAGTATCTAAAGGCTTGTTTAGTTATGGGATTTTGGAGAGGACATGAGGGGAATATTGATTTTTAAAAAATTCTAGATTATATATACTCGTAATTCTTTGACTAGAAACAATAATATGATTAGTCAAATGTACTTATATATAATTTCTTCATCTTCACTTTCCTTCTAACTGTCTAAATATAAAAGTGAATTAGTATAAATAAATATTACATTTCCTTTGTCCTTCCCTCCCTCTTAAATCCTCAAACCAAACAAGGGCTAGGAGACAAGTGTATCTTTGCCATAAAAACAAACCAAGACCATATTCTCCATATCATTATTCTAAAAAGCAATCAAAATTATTTTTAAATAAACAAATTTACCTCACTACAATCTAGCTTTTTTCTTTTTTTGCAAGAAAGAGTACTGGTGTCATCTTAAGGGGTGCATGGAGAATATCAATGTCTAAAAAGTGAATCGTTAACGCATTTTAGAAATTTCATTTCTAGCATAAAAATCCTGGCTATATTCTAGCCGTTTAACATTGCTCAGTCTCAAGTACCTAAGATCCATTTACTCACCTGGTTTAAAGAGTTGGCAGCAGCAGCAACCATCATAGTACCAGCACACGTGGTCCAAAGACCTGCATAATCAATTGCTCCACCACTACCAAGAACAAAACCTGTGCCAGAGGTGGCTACTACTAGCATACTGCAGTAAGCAACAAACGAAGGCACAAATTAATCAGGACCAGACAGCTTAATCCATACATTGCATTCCCAATCAATATAATCAATAAACAATTGCCTTTCCCTATCGGCAAAGAAAGTTATCGTTTTGCATCAATAAAAAAGATCTTTTAAATAGAATATACCTGAATATAAAAATCAAATCGATTCAAATGTAACTTGTAAGTAAGCAATTACAACGAGAGAGAATTAAGTGTCATAGAAAACTAACAGAAAATAATACACTCTAATTAGAGAAAAAACAAAACATCTAGCAGGATGGTTAACCTGAGACGAGCTTTGGAGAGCTCCCAATAACAGCGACCATAGTGCTTAGCCAGGTCGCACACCTCCCTACTCTTCAAAACCGAGGCAGAAGCTAGCGACGACAATCCGACTGCCGATGACGAAGGCCAGGTCCGATCCCATGCGGAAGACGCTAACCCTAATTTCACCGAATCGGCATGTGATGGAGACTCCGATCCAGCAGCCGTCGAACTGGGTCGGATCAGATGGCCATGATAAGCTAAGGAAGCACGAAGAACACGAACAGATGGATTGGGGCTGGGTGTCTTGACGAGTTTCGATGAGAAATTCAGAGAGCTTCTCCACATGGTTGAGTCAGAGGAGCGAGTTGGGTGAGTTCGCGCTCGTTGGTCTGGGATGAAGAAAATATGAGTAATATGGACGGCAACAGAAATGATACCCTCACACCTTCAATCATTTTTTATATTTATTTTTGTTAATTATTTAATAAAATGATATAGTTACGTCATCTCTTATTTTGTAAAATTTTTTATGTAATTTTAAAATATATAATTTTAATTTTTAATAGCATGCCTATATATAATAAAATAAATTGAATTGAAAATTATTTCAGTCAAATCTCGTAAACCGAACTAAGAAGATCATTTTAAGACGGCTGTAGTTACTTGAGGCCAAACATGGGATCATGTCATTGGAGATAAAGATCAATAATAAAGACTTGTCCCATTAATTATGATGCGGAAATTAGCGAGATTAGATTTTGGTCCTATCATTGAACATGTTCTTAAGGCCCTCATCGCATGTTTTGTGGGAATTAAAATAACTAAAGGGTCTTCTTTGCTCGCTTCACATTTGTCAAACCTAATTGATATCGCTACTAATTTTATTTTTCATGAGAGAATGAAACATATTGATATAGACTATCGTTCTATTCGTGATGAGTAAATCACGTATGGACTTACTTATTCCCAAGTAGAGCATTATGCAATTATATGCTCCCACTTGAGAGATGTTAAGGAAATAATCTAGAATATATATATATATATATATATATATATATATATATATATATATATATATATATATATATATATATATATATATATATATATATATATATATATATATAAAGTAGGGTTTTTTGCATGTGGGGTTGACACGTGGCAACTGACATGGAAAAATTGACACGTGGTGGCTGATTTGGAGGGTGACATGGAAAACTCATGAGCATTTTTCAAAGAGAAAACCATCTCCTTTCCTCAAAAAAAAAGGAGAAAACCATCGGACAGTAGGAGATGCGTAAACGAGGGGAAATGGCGGCGCAAAATTTCCTACCGCTGCGGAACAAGCAATTCCGACCAAAAATCTAGAACTCCATTATCGCCGCCTAGCCTTCCCAAACACCCAACGCCGTTGCAGCTGACCAGTTTCCACTGCAGATTTCCAGCCGCTTCCCCTTATTAGGGTATGTACGATACCCCCATTTTTTCTCCTGATTAGGGTTTTTGAAATCGAGAGTATTCTTTGCATTTTGGATTAATTATACTGTGTTGGTAATTAATTTGTTGGATAGTTGTATAATTGATGTTTCATAGGGAGTGAATGATGATTTTATATAATGATATATTATTATTATTATTATTAGAAATTGTCAATTTGAATATTGAAATTAACTGTGTAAAATCCAAAGGAAAATGATATTTATCCAAGTAATAAATTTGAATATTGAATTTATTATATCTGCAATGCCTAAAGTTTTCTGTTCGAATTCTTAAATCTAGGAATGCTTCTCAGAACTTACATGCATTTTCCCATTTGTTAATATTCCTTGAACTTTTATTGCAGATTTTTGACCAATTTGTACTACTTATTTTCTTCTGCTTATTATATTTCTCTAAAAATCCAAATTTTAGGGTTTTTTAAATTCAGAGTATTCTTTGTATTTTGGATTAATTATACTGTGTTGGTATTTAATTTGTTGGATAGTTGGATATTTGATACTACGTATTTCATAGGGAGTAAATGATAATTTTATATAATGATATATTGTTATTGGAAATTGTCAATTTAAATTTTGAAATTAACTGTGTAAAATCCAAATGAAAATAATATTAGTCCAAATAATAAATTTGAATATTGAATTTATTATATCTGTAATACCTAAAGTTTTCAGCTCAAATTATTAAATCTAAGAGCGCCTTTCAAAACTTGCATGCATTTTTTCATTTGTTAATATTCCCTTAACTTTTGTTGCAAATTTTTGACCAATTTGTAGTACTTTATTTGTTTTAGTACCAAATAGGTGATGACTGGCAGATTCAGAACATCTTTTTCTTGCAAAACATATCCACCACTGATGCAAAGTTAAGGTTGCGTAAGCAAAAGATGGAATAAGTTGGTGTTAGCCTTATCTGCCATTGGTGATCAAACGTAAGCTAAAAAGGAGGATGAGTTATCATTATGTTTTTTTCTTTTCAGATACTAAACTGATAATTGAATGGTTCGTCTAATAAAAACAATCTCTTTCTATTTTTGATGTTGGTAATCAAAAGAAGTAAGGCAAAAAGAGGATGGGCTATCATTATGTTTTTTTTATTTTTGGTTACTAAATTGAAATTTGAACGATTGGTTTAACAAAATTATTCTCTAGCTGTTTACAAACGTAAAGTTGCATAGGTGTTGACATTGAGATCCGAACATAATAAGGATTATATAGGCTTTTGGTGGTGTCGTTGTCTTTCAATTATGTTATGCTTGGCTCCACTTTTCATGTTTGCTAGAACTAAAGAAGGTTTGGCATCTTAATGTAAATCTATATGAACATACATTTTTGATTCACTTGGGACAATTCTCTCATGCTTCTATGTAATCAATCCTTTTTAAAACCAATTTCTATCACAAAATTCAGCACGTGTCCACATCTATATAAGTTGTCCCTTTTCTCACTGCTAGGAATCCTCATAAGAGCAAGACCATTAAGCAAGAACTTAGGTTCTCTTTTAACGTGAGAAGTGCCTTGCTTCTTACCTTCAGAATTATGGGTAATACCATATTGTTTCTCTTACGTGCTTTTCTAAGACAATCGGCAATCAATTTGTTTTTACGCTGGTCTTATTGCCCCCTTTAATACTTTGCACCACAAGCCATGCCATGCAGGAGAGGTAATAGATCTGTAACTTCCTCGGCCCAAGCTTCTGCTTCTCGCGACTTCATCGCCTTCTTTCTTCTTCCAGAACTGCTCTGTTGCACTTCAATTTCATGCGTTTTCGCAGGTGAGGCGGCGTGCTATGGGCAGTTAATGTTGTTTCTCTGTAACCCTAGGTGCGTTTATTACCCCTACTTTATTCCAGCATTTATTACCCCTACTTTATTCCAAATGATTCACCTTCTCTATGTTTGGATGTGTTTGTGTGTGTTTCCGAATCTATATATATTCGCCTTATTGAACAATTGAAATGGACGTACTGAGTTTTTGTTGTGTTTCAAAATCAACTGTTCCTGAAGATGTTTTTTCCTCTTGAAGTTCAAGAATTTAATTGTTTGCTAATTTCTTTCTTCTAGGATACACGGCATACAAAAGTGTCACCTGCTTCTGTTTTGGTGAAGAAACTGCATGTTATTGCAGGTTAGTTTCATAGGACTTTTCCCAGAACATACTCAACACCTGACAGTTTGAATAAAAGAAGTGAGAAAAAGAAAAGTTGTAATTTGCCTTGCACTTGGAGCGAAACAGATCCATCCACTTTTCTAATACGCGGAAAAACGTATTTAGATGATCGTAACAAGGTGGATTTCATTAAACCTAAGCTTAAGAATACACCCCACTCAAGTCCAATACGAAGTTTGTAATCATAATTCTGCCACAATGCATCAGCCGGTGGTGGATGATTCTGGTATGTTAGGAATCAGGGAGCATGTTGTGTTAACCAAATATATTCTGTGATTATCTATGTGGTGAACATGCAAAATTTAATTACTCCCTTATTCCCTTTAAATGATCCCCTTTACTGTTCACACTCTCGAGCTATATCTTACTTTTTTACGTATATTTTCATTGATCATTTGGTAAAATAACAGTCATGTCATCTTTTTTTGTGGAACTTTTGATGTAGTATTTAAAAAAAGAAACTTTATTTTTTATTTTTATTCCAATATTTTCATAAATTGAATTGAGAAAAACTTTAGTAAAATGTCATAATCCGGAATGGGAAGATTAAATAGGGATGGATGAAGTATTAACTAGCCATATCAATCATAAATACCATTGTGTGATTTTCTGTGTGTAGACTGTGTTACAATTCAAATGTAGACCATATATATGGTGTAACTTGAAAAATTAAATTGCATTTTGTGGGGGCATACTGATCGCTCATGATTGTTAATTTTATGCTTTTACACATTGAGATAATTTGATGAGTCAAAGTGCTTAGATGAACAGTTTCAAAAGTCAAAAGTGGACAAACACACAGGGACGGAACAAATATCTTATTACTACATAATCAAACACACAAACTTAATCAGTATATGGATATGAATATAAACAGCCAGGAACTCAAAATTTCAAAAAGAATATACCAACAAGCATGAAAAAGGCAGAAACTCATTCTTGAGAATAAGAGAAGCAAACAGACTAACAGAGGCGACTAACAGAGGTAGATGAGCACAAGTGGTCAGACAACTCTTACCACAGAAGGTATGGCAGGTATAAACACCAACTATAACAACTTTTTGATAGTGAATTATACCTTTCTTTGACATACTTCTTTCCTTATTGCACATTTCAATGTTCATATTTCAATAGGCCCCCCAAGAAGAAATCAGCCCCAAGCACAACAACGCACATTGCATGAAAATAATCCAGGTAAGTTTATTACTACAGAACCCATTACGAATACAATTTTTAAAATATTTACATTGTTTCTTAATTAGAAATCAGCAAAAAAACCCATCAATTTACCACTTCCTGTACTACGAGACTTGGTAAATCCTAAGAAATATCAGAGGTATTTCATAATAACCCATCAACAAAATGTTTGTTTTCGAAGCATCCTATCACAATTTATGGCCCGTCTTCCATGAATGTATGGTTAAGATTCATCCAGTATGAAATTGATATATACTTGCAATTTATTGCAGATTCATTTATATGTGCGCTGCTGATTTAGTATCAAATTTATTTTAGACCTGTTTGGCAGCCTTATGTGCCGCATTTCTATTCGGCATGATCAGTATACCTACCTCTTGACTGAATTAGTTGGCTAAAAGGATAAAGATGTTTGAATTTACAACACATGATTTGAATGTAGAACTTTTACTTCTCTTTATACATGAGTATCCTATAATTTAAATGTTCATGAAAACCTGGATGAGTGTTTCAATGCTTTTGTGTTCTAATTAATTGTTCAATCAGTGTTAAGTTTGGCACTTATTAAGGATTCCCTGCTTCAATCTATACTCTCTCTCACTCTATCCCTTTTTCCCCTAGATCACTTATACTATGTTTGCTTTAAGGAATTTGAAAAGGAAATAAATTAACATGAGACCAAATCCCTGCCATTTGGGTGAGGGAAATGAAAGAAACCCATTTCCTTTTATTTTCGTACCGAATTTCCTAAATCAAACATACTCTTAGCGTGTTAGTTTACTCCCTACATGCCCCATTGCACCTTAAAAATATGCAAGAAGAATTCCATTGTAGTTTACTCCCTACATGTCACATGCTACCATACACCTATTTTATTATGTACACCATATAACCCATCCAAAACTGACGCTCTATTTATGCACTTAATAATTGCAGGCCAAAATTTGGACTATCTGAATCTAGGCTATCCTCATGAGAAGTGCCAATACTGCCATGCTATAATGTGGACAGAAGAACGCAACAACAGCAAGGCAAAGAACTCACCACCCACTTTCTCTTTGTGTTGCATGGAAGGCTGGGTTTCCCTCTCCGCATTGAAAAATGCACCTGAGTATCTAAGAGACCTTCTTAGCCACAATGGAGGAAAACGTTCAGCTACCTTCCGTGAAAACATACGGGCATACAACTCAATTCTTGCCTTCACATCAATAGGGGTGCAAATAGATTACGAAATCCATAAAACCAAAGGACCATACGTCTTTAGAATCAGCAGCCAAAACGGCCATCACATTGGTTCACTTCATCCCCAACCAGGGAACCCCCGGAAGTTCCTCTAGCTATATATGTATGATAACATAACTGCAGAAGTGTCTTCTAGGATAAAGTCACTTACGAAAGACAAACCGAACTCCAAGCTCGATGAGACCATTCTCTCAAGCCTAATAACAATGCTTGACAGGGAGAATTGTTTGGCAAAAACATTCCGAATGGCACGACACAGAATGAAAGAAAATGAAGATATACAGCAAAACATTCCGAATGGCACGACACAGAATGAAAGAAAATGAAGATATACAGCTGCAACTACATCTCTTATCAGATCGCACACCTCTTAACTCTTAAGACTTACACTCATATTTTTAGAGAAGCTTTAATTTAGTCCTCTTATATTTAAAATGTTTTTTGTAATGTATAAACTTTAATATTACTTTTTAAAAACACGTGAACTAAATGGTGAAAATTAACATCCAAAGAGGATACTCATGGTATTACGTTTTGGATATTATTACAAGTCTAAATTGTGTGAAAATCATTTATACTTCTTAATTCTTGAACTGTATTTGCCAAGGAAAATCAACTACCCAAAGAAAAATTAATTGGCATAACAGGCAATAACTAATTTCCATGGAACAAACACGTGCATACATTCCCAGCCCGTGCGAAGCACGGGGTAGACAACTAGTAAAGAATGAAAGTGACGGGACAAAATGAATATCAAATAATTCTCATGAAGGACGACTAACAAACATATAGATTGTTAGGTGTCAGAGTTGCGACTAATCTACAAATTGACATGTTTAACATACAAGTAGCTGCGACCAAACATACGAAATTAATACTTTCTTTATCTCAAATTAAATTGTATGTTAAACATGCTGCAATATAAATTGAAACGAATTGAGTAAAAATGTACTCCCTCCGTCCTATTTTAAATTGTCTGTTTTGACTTTTGGGCATATTTAATAAAAAAAAGAAAAAATATAGTTGATTTTTCGAAATTGTCATTACTTTTTAGGAGGGGTGACGATGAATGAGAGGATAAGATGAAGAAGAGTGACTTATTTTAGGGGTAGTTTAGGTATTTTATTTTTAAAAGAGTACGAAAACAACTAATAGACAACTTATTTTGGGACAAAAAAAAGATAAACAATCAATTTAAGATGATGGAGATGTAGTAGTAAAATACAACCAAATACCATGACATCAAAAAACTTGATTGGAGTACCAACAAAGCAAAACAACCCAATTCTATTAACCACTATCCTTTTACCTGTTTGTGGTAATTTAAACGTCCTTGTGGTTCGTGGGGAGGGGGGGGGGACTTTAACCGTCGCCGCCTTCTGAACCTTGACTGCACCGCCGAAGTTTCTCAGTTAACGTTTCCTACGCCGCCGCCTTCTGAACATGGGCGGTTGCTGACTTGAACCAAATTGAAAGAAACCAAATTCAAAGATCACTCTGAAGAAATTGGTATGGTGTGTGCGGACAACGCTGGAGCAACGTTCTAGTGCACCTAAAACCCTAGTTCACATAGCCACATCCGTGGTCCGGGTCACTGTCCAACCGGAGCCAAACATAAAGGAAGGGAAAAGAAACTCTCTATGTATTATTCTCTGTTCTAATTTTATTTTGGTTTCTTGTGTTCTTGTGGATCATTTGACTGCTCAGGCAATGGATAATGGAGTAAGTTTTTTCCCCGGTTTAAGTTAGCATCTGGATAGTCAAGAGATTGTTCGTGTAATGTGGTTTAATTTATGTGTAATGCTAGGTCATATTTACGAATACCAAAGAACAATGTAAGAGAAATCAGTTGACATAATTAAAATTTATGACTTTGTAGTTCAATTTAGTTGATTGATTTCGTTATGCATACTGGACTAGTATATATATATATTATTTGAATAAACTGTGATCTGATCTAATGCAAATATGAATTTGATTTTGTATAATTTCGATCCTTTTCATTCAGGATCGGCCTCGAAAAATGAAATTTGCCCGGTCCGAAATTTATATTTTGAGCCCTATTTTATTATTTTGGAATACATTTGCTTCAAAATTAATGATGAGTTTAAAAATATGGGAGTCCTAAAATTTTATGGGCACTGTGCAATTGACCACTTTGCATACTCTTAGGCCCACCCATGATTTCATTGTACATTGTATTTTCATATATAAAAATTATAGTTTCTGACATATGAGATTCTATACAAGCACTTGTTAAGTTCATATGTGCTCATATTTTTGAGAATATTTTCTCCTAAATATTATATTATTCTTCTAATTCCAATTCTAACAATGTCTTAAGGTAGTGTTTGGCAACTAGCATTTAATTTCAATTCATGCATTTCAATTCCAAAATTTGAAATTCTGAATTTCAAATGACAAGGTGAGGTGCATGAATTTCAAATTAAGCTTTGTTTTGAATGTAAAGAATTGGATTCAAATCCAAATTCAAAATGCTTAGGTTTCCCAAAAATTGAAATAAAGCCAAATCCGGATTTGAAATCCAAATCCATGTACCCAAACATACCATAAAAGTATTCTCGTCTTTCACAAACAAATTAAATGTATATAGGTTGACATTGATTGTCATTTTATAGGTACTTAACAAGTCATTTATTAATTCTTGAGTGTATGTAAAACATGTTACCTTTGATCCTCTTACAAAACATCATTTTTCATCTCTGGTCTTCCCTTTCGACGATAGTGTAGCATTGCATTGTATTTACACGAATCAATTTGAGAAATATTAAATCCATTTATGGGTGGTTAATGTGTTACATATTGCATTAATTAACAAATACTTTTATGTGGAATCGTGTTGATGTATGCTAGACACATTATAACTTGAATACAACTATTACTTCATAATTATGGGTCAAATATTGATCTTGTTTGATTGTGAAAAGAAGAACAAATACTCAGGAAGGTTGGAACGGAGTAAGTATACTCTAACACACTTCCCACGAGAATGAAAGATTTTGTTTTTCGATTCAAAAATTATACATGAACACTATTTATTTTAAATTGGACAACGAGAGTTTTGAACTTGTACTCTCTAAATCAATTAACTACATTGTGATACATTGTGAAAGAATTAAATTAATAAATATTTGCATTAAATAGCACTAAAATATATGTTATTTTTTAATGTAAGACTTAAACTTTTTTATTCTCCAAATAGCACTTAATAATGTCTAGAAGGATGAATAATGTCTAGTAATGGTGAATATTTACTTGAATAATGACTAATAACTAAAAATGTTAATTCTATTTAGTTGAAGAACTTTTTTTTTACCTCAGTCCTCCTGTAAAAGAGAAAAAATATTTTGCATTAGTCCACATACATACATGTTCATCTTAATTAGAGCAAAATAGGGACAAAATTGTAAAGTTAAAGAGTGCAAATTATAATATTGAAACGGACGGAAAATACGAAAATTGTGTACGAGTATTATTTTTGTTAGAGAAATACTACGTAGGAAACTAGGCTAATAATTAGGCAACAAAAAGGGAACCATCATTGACTTCGAAAAAAGTCTAATAGAATTATTTTTGTATCAATATCTAATATCATTTGAGGTCAAAGATTTTCAATTTTGATCAAGAAAATTAAAAATATACAAATACTCAATGACGAAACAGTATTGTGTAGGAATCTAGGCTAATAATTAGGCAAGAAAAAAGGATCACCATATATATCAATGGCTTCAAAAAACAAAGGCAATCTGTTCACTCAAAATTAATTAATTTAAACAATAAATTAAACTAAACTCCCGAAGAACCACATATTATAAACATTGACTATGGCTGGCTGCCTATATATATACACATACATGCAGGCTTAGCTTGGATGAACATGCAAGATTAAACAATTATTATTTGATCCAAAAAAATTTTATAAGAAATTAATCATCTTAAATATGGATAATTCTCAGAACATGAGTTACAAAGCAGGCCAGGCCAAGGGCCAAGCTCAGGTAATGATAATTAATAAATCCAGTCGTTTATTTACTCTTTTATTCCTTCTTAAAACTGATTATGGTCCAAGTGTCATTCGATTTTTGTATATATCCTCGTTTCACCATAAATTAAATATAGTCTCGAATAGTCAAATGTTATAAAAGTTTGCTTGATATATCAGAACTAATCTTAAAACTCTTTTCACTATAAATTAAATATAGTTTCAAATAGTTAAATGTTATAAAAGTTTGATATATCAAAACAAATCTTAAAATTAAATGAATACATAATTATATTAAATTTACACCATAGGTAACTAAATATACACTTTTCATAATCTGTGCTAAAAGTGACCTAAAAGATCAAACCAAGATCATAATTTCTTTTTACAAAACACGATAATTTTTTAATGGAGAGAATATTTATATTTCTTCGGCAATCTACTCCGATCCCTTTGTTCTAAATTATTTGTCCTAGTTTAGTTTGACTTTTATGCTAACCTTGACTATAAACTAAAAGAAAAAATATTACTCCCTCCGTCCCCCTGTATTTGTCCACTTTCATTTTTACACATCATCCAACGCACTTCTTTAATCCATTTTATCTTGTAATTTGTATATTAAAAAATTATAGAAATTATATATTAATAATCTATATGTTACGACAAATCAAACGAGATCACACATGACTATATTTAGGCTTATACATTAAGAGAATTTGATGAGTCAAAGTGCTTACATGAACAGTTTCAAAAGTCAAATGTGGACAAATACAGGGGGACGAAGGGAGTATTTAATTACAATAAAAACTCAATATAATTGGGTTGTGTTAAGATGTGGTTACGATATACCAAATTTTTATAACTTCTATTTATTTAAAATTATATTGTATTTAATTTATTGTCAAATTTAGCATAAAAGTTACACGCTATGAGAAATAACTTGAGATAGATAAAGCATTGATGAATATATATGTGATCTTAGTTTTATAATATTATTTAAGTACTATAATCTATATTACAATATTGAAAATAAATAAAATACTCCGTGTATATTTACAGGAAAAGGGCAGTCAAATGATAGACAAGGTCAGCAGTGCTGCCCAGTCTACCAAGGAATCACTTCAGGAAGTATATATTTACACACTCCCTCCATTCATTTTTTACATATGAGTGCTTCTTTGGTGCATCCAATTTTTGTGGATGGATTTTCTCACATAAAAAAATATTTTTTTATAAAAAATTTATTTTTATTTTTTTAATGAAAAAATAGATGCTTATTTAAGCTGTAATATAATACTTATTTCCCAATATATGACCATATGTTTTTATTTCCCAATGTAGGACCTTTGGTCATTATAAAGTAGTCATTATTCAAGTAAATGTCCATCATTACTAGACATTATTCCTTCCACTAGGTCATTATTAAGTCCTGTTTAGGGAATAGAAAAGTTTAAGTCCTACATTAGGAAAGTCATTATGTTTTAGTCCTATTTTGTGCAAA